TCTTTCATGCGGGCCAGCAGGTTCAGCTTCAGCTTCCACCTGGGCTGCCTGGCGCAGTGATTACACGCCTATGGGGAACAGCTTAACACAGTAGTCCTGCCGGAGCAGGAAAATGGGCCCTGTCGGATTGGTCACAGCTTATTTAATTACACAAATGAAGAAGTAACGAGCAAACAGCTTCTCTCTGCCACCTCACCGCAGGACAGGTGGAGGGGAAAAGCAGCCATAATCTATTTCCTGATTGCTGCAGTCCTCCACAAATTGTGCCCCAGGGGGAGAGAAGTGCATCGGGTTTGATCTTTTGTCAGGGGAGGGGAGCAGGGAGGGGGGGGTGTGCTGGGGGGCGATTTGGGGCTGGAGGGAAGCAGACTGCTTCTTCTCTTCCCTTCCTGAGCAGATTAGCTACCTCAGGAGGCCACTGCTGTCTCCTCAGCTGCCCCTCCCAGAGCACTGCGACAGGGAGCTTGGATTAGGTTTCCCAGAACACCTCCGCGAGGAACCAAGCCCAGCACACAAGGAGATCAAAGGGAAAACAGGAAAAAGAGACGGTGTCAATGGCTATTTCTACAGCAGGTAATAATGCAGCAGCATTACCTGTTCAGTACAGCACACAGCGCAGCACACTGAGCAAACAAAGCTGAACAGGCATTACCTTGTAAGATGATGAACAAAGTTTGAAAACAGTTACAACAGCTGAAGAAGAGGCACCGACGGTTTGGGGTTTTGATGAGAACTAAAGGCCAGTGTCACAGAAAGGGCCAGTGTTTATAGTTTTGGATTTGGAGGAAGAGTCTGGCGTCATTGCAATGGTCTGAATGTGCAACAGCTAGCAATTGGAGAAGACTGAAGAGAGATGCATAGAGAACAGGGAAACCCACTAATGCATGTCGTTTGTTTCCAAAGTGAAGGAGAAAGAGAGATCACATGCAGGTTTCTGAGTCGATGATTTACACTGAAGAATTAATATGGACTTTGAAATGTGCATCTCTTAGGAACCACTTCGGACAAGAACAGAGTTTCTTTCATATAAGCTGTGGCCTGGGAGTCCATAGGGTGGCTACTGGGGTACTTCAGGGCTTTGGGGCATCATTGTGTTTACTTTTCATACCCCAATGCCCTGCTGGCTCAGTAGCAACTATCTGACACAGAGCGCGGCAGTAGAATTCATGTACTGGACAGTGATGCACATTATGGCTGGGCAGGGTTCAGCCAGCATAGCTAACAGCAGAAGGCTGGCCTCCAGCCTCTCACTGCTTTCAGTCTTTTAATAATAATAATAATAATAATAATAATAATAATAATAATAATAATAATATGTTGCAGTAAAAAGGCACATAAAGAAGAGCATATGAAAGGTTCTGAAGCCATTATTCCATGTACTTCAGAAGGGAGAAATGACTCCTTAACAGAAATCAGATTTGGGCACAAAAGCAAGCACTGGCATAGTGTACTGAATCTTTGGCATCACAGATATACCTGTATCAGAAAGGCTCGTCCCCTCGGACAACATGCTGCATGCGTTCCTGTGATCACACGCATCTTTGCGTGATCTTTGTCTGATCTCTGTACACAAACTACTCTTACAGGGATTACAGGCTGTTTTCTTGTTGGGGGTAAAAAAAAAGATTAAAAGGTGATAAAAGAGTTAAATTGATTTATTAAAAAACAACAAACTCAAACTCTTCCTTTCGGTCGCCCGGTTTCAGATGCTCCTTCAGTGCCCTGGGCGGGCGGCTGTGATTGGAGGAGCCCAGGGAGAGCAGGGAGGAGAGGAGGCCAGGGCGGAGGGACAGTGGGGTGGGGGCTGGGGGTGTTTTGGGGGTGAGTGGGTCTATTTAGCCCCCAGCAGAACGCACCCCCCCCCCCCGAGCTCCGTGCCCCTCCCTCATCTTTGTGTGTGCTGAGCCAGCTCCTCCCCCTTTTGTCGCCAGGACTTTCTGCTTTGCTTATCACACACAATGGCTGCTCAGTGCCCTGTAGCCTGACGCTGCACTCTGCAGGAGAGCGCTGCTGACAGGCCCCCATGTGACTGGACAGCGTCTACACAGTCCAGGATCCAGTCCGCCTTCGTCCACAATAACAGGCATTAGACAACAGGGAGGCAGGGCTGGACACAGCACTCACCCTGCTGCTGTTCGAGGTCTGCTAGGCTGACTTTGGCACTCAGACTAATTTCTGCGATGACACTTCTTTGCTGCTATCTACACTTTCATACTCTAAAGACACAGGCCCTTCGGATATGAGGTCCTTATTCTTCACCACCCTTGAAAACTGCTGAAAATCTTCCCCTCACAGCGATGTTTTAATACCTGCAAACGATGGTAAAATAATAAAAATGGAAAAGAATAATGGCTTGACTTTAGAGCAAATTATTTTTGCATCCAAATATAATTTCTAAAGATTTCTATGAGCAGTCAGTTTTTTTTTTTCCTGCGCACAAAAAAGGGCTTGAGGAACATCAGAGTGATCTGACAAGATCGCTTAATAATATTTCAGATTTCAAATAAAATTGGACAAACTAAACTATGCAGCCATTGGAAACAGAACAATTTATATAACTCTCTGTGGGTAAGTACGTATGAAGAGGTAGTTAACAGTATTTCTTTGTTACCTTATTTAGTCTGGAATGGAATCTCAGCTACCAAGGTGTTCCATGTGTGGGTCTAATACAACTCTTAGGCCTTGACTATAACATATATATATTTTTAAGAGTACTTCACCTGATTACAACACAGCTAGAGCACAACAACTTATTCTCTCACCCACTCATTACAAAATGCACCTGTAGAGTCAAGCACTAGGCAGCACACTGACATCCCTGGACAAAACCTTTTGTTGTTTGTCAGGTGGATAATTTAAAAAAAACTTGAACCACACTGCTTGGAGGGTGATAACACAAACTGAGTTAAGCACACAGCTACTGAATCACCATCAACTGGCAGAACACAAACAGTGAAAGCAGATTACGTCTGGGGATCTATCGGCTCATTCTCTGAGCTGAAATCACACCTAAGCTAGAATTGCTGTGCAAATACACAATATTTCTCAAAGATCAGGTTAGTTGGCACCAAACTAAGGTAAACACACACTTCTACACCCAATTTAAACAAACACAATCAAGTACACACACAGAGCCATTCCTTATTTTCACACTGTATTTAAATAAAATACAGGCCTGTGCACTACAAACTGAGCCCATCACAGTTTACAATCAACACATGCATGCCCTCACTAATACCCTTAGATCATGACAGGATTACGCCAGTTAAGATAAAACAGGATTGCTTCCTGTCTGTGACAGGTGTGTACATCAACATCCTTCTCTGCACTTTTAAGCAGTGAGTTTACACGGGGATTGGTGTTAAAAGATCTGTCTATAAACCTGCTCTTCCATGATGTTGTGGTGCACTATGTTGAGTGTGGTACCGTGTGAGTGTCAGGCTCTACAGCCTGCCACACCCGTGCAGAGTCGGGGCACTTGGAAAAGTCTCTGCAGGTAAGACCAAGTGCAGGAACAAATGAATAAGGCCCATAGCGATCTGTATGCAAGTGGATGAGAATGAGGCATTACAGTCACTTTCTATTGGAGGACATTGTGTCAGATTTGGATTCTGATGCGTTGAGGTGGAAAAGAGGGAGACGGGCGGGTTTTTTTTTCGGGGGGGGGGGGGGTTGAGTTCCAAAGTCCCAGTTTGCAGGCCTATATTTCACACCACGGTGTCATCTCATAGTCTTGAGCAGCGTGGAGGTGGAGACCCCCACCTCCCTCCCTCTCGCTCTTTGAAAAGGGACCTGAAATGTATGCAAATGCCCCTAGAGGGGATTAGACTTTTTATGGGTTTAGAATTTAGTTCAGCCAACCTGAATAATCAAATGTGGGAACAAAAAAAAAGTATG